ACATGGGCCTTGAATTTTATCGAATGGTAATCGATTTAGTAATTTTTAGTTTATTTTTAAATTAAAGTTTTGTTCTTTATATTGTAATATTTATATTAAGAAATTTAATCTAGTTTCGTAATATTCGAGACTTTTGAAATCAAAACGTTGATGACTAAAGATTTTTTAAATTTAGATTTATTTTTAGTCGAATATTTATATTTTTAATATCGAATAAATGCGAATAGAGAATAAACGCGACATTTATTCATAATATTAATGGAATTGTTATTATTATTATTATTATTGATAATTATTCATATTAATATTTAGTCAATTTTATTGATATGATGGCCTTTTCGCGACACGTTCGTGTTTCGCGTATTGTACAAAATCTTACGCTTATTGTCGGCAATGTTAGTCGGTAGCAGTCGGCAGCAAAAAGGAGTATTTCTTCTTATTGTCGATTTCTAGCATATCAAGCCAGAATATTGGCCAAGAGTAACGAAAGATGAGTTCAATCTGGCCAGAAGAAAGAAGAGAATCTATACGAAGATAGAGGTTGGTGTACAACACCAATCTAAGTTTTTAAAAGGTATATGTGTAAAGATAAACTGAATATTCGGGAGGGTAAATTGCTCGCAATTGCGAGTTCTTATTTTTTGAATTACTTCTTATTTAAAGTACAAAAATAACTAACGAACAACAGGGCTAATGAAATAAGTCAGTGCGGATAATCAGGCGCAAGTTTTGTAGATTTTTTAATCATTGTTACAGGATCGTGAAAAATTTCTAATTGATATGCTTGTCAAAAGCATTATGATGATGCAACGTCAAATTAAATTACAAATTAGTTAGTTTGTATTAATTTGTATTAAATGCAATATCTATGATTTCCCGTATTAAGCGATGATACATGCGCGATGCAAATACGAGGAAAAAGAAATCGTGTGATGGATCCAGATGAGAAGTTGAGCAATCTTTATCTTTGCAAATTTAATAATTCATTACTTTGAAATGACGAGAATAACAATCATGTTAATCTATATTAAGCGAATTACTAAACATTCTGACGAAAATAAAGGATGGAACGTAAACCGAATATAAGGGGAGAGCGGCACAAACGTAAATGAAATTCTAAGATTAAATTTTATTGGCATAAAAGATAAGCGTCTTCTTCTTAAAACGCTTTCTTTTGTATCAATTTTTATTTTCTGAGAGTTTCGTTTATGCTTCTGTCTTTTCTCATATATTTGGTTTACGCTACGATTTTTATTTTTGCCAGGACAGTGATGGATTGACTTAGGCGAAACAGGCGGTGAAACTATTGAATTAAATTATTATTTTCTTGTTTAAAGAATAAAAAAAATACGTATATAATTGGGCGAAAAATTAATATTTCAAAAATGTAATCTTTTTAAAAAAATAAAACAGCACATTTTTATACATTCAATTTTTATAATATACGAAATATTTTTTGCAAGAATAGACAAATATTCTGTTTTCATTTTATTTTTGTATCTGAGTTTCTGATACAAAATTTTATTTTTGTATTGGTCTCCGATTTCTACCGCTCAGATAGAAACGTTTAAATTGTCATTGCTGTTATAAATCAATGAACAAGGACTTTAATATGCAATTAAAATACGTCGCATGAAGCATTCGGATTACAAAGAATTACAACATCGCTCGCGATGTGGGAGAGACGGGAATACCAGGCGCCACACACTAGTGTGTATAAAAATATATTTACGATTTACATATATGCTAATGTAGCACACTTTTATCGATGAGTGTACCCATGTTAAGTTCAACAAAATTCGCGTACCCATGCACACATACACGCTCCTGCAACACATCGTATAACTATCTTACTGATATGGAGTCACCACGCACAACATGTAGACTTTTACGGTACTAGCTTTTCGATTCGTGGAAATGCACAATCAAGAAGTACACGTCTATACACGCGGCGGCAAGAAGATTGGCTCCAAGATTAATCTCGTAATAATATTTACGATCGTTCCATGTAACGATTTTTCATCTGGCTGATAGTACTTCGCTCTTTCCAGTCCACGTTTCCAAGTAAAAATGACAAACAACACGATACAATAGAGAAAATTAAAGAAATTTTCTCAACGAGAGATTTCTTTCCCGTTGTTGCTGGTGTGATAAACGAATATAGCTGGAAAAACTATGGGAAAACTTGATTCATGAAACAAGTAGGTTTAGTGTAAAGTTCACACTGTACATAAGACGTTTGATGTATTAAAAATATGTACATATTTCACGATGTTTGTATTAAAAATTAATATTTAAACGTTATTAATTTACATAAGATAGTATCAGTAAATGATATGTATATTATATATACATGTTAATTAAAGAAAGACGCTTTAAATATTATAATAGACAATCCGTTTTGCTAACGTCGCTATTTAGTAGAACTTTGAGCAACTGAATGGAGTAATTTCTGTACACTTAAACTATAAATCAAGATAGATGCAAGTAGGTATTATCACATGAGTAAAAACAGAAAAAGAGAAGGAAATAAAGTGTCATGAATCAAATAAGCGAAATTGATCGATATTTATCGTAAGTAATGTTAAGTTCTAGTTCTATAAAGTATTTGGTTTGAGGTATTAAAATATTCGCTTCTATTAGCTATTTAAACATTAAGTGCAATAATTACTCAATTTTATATAATTTAATTGTATTAATATTTACTATCTTAACTGTACAAATTTAACTCAAAGACATAGTGATATATGACATAAAGATATCTTGAGGCACACTTTCATATTTAACGTAAAATGTGCCTGATTTTATGTTTAATTTTAGTCTCTTTTTATATTAAAATTATATTATACATATCACTAGATTGCAACTAGAACAGTAAATGTCATTCTGAAAGTAAAATAAAAACATTAATTTTAAATATAAATATATATTTAACATATATGTATATTTCTTATTTCTTCCGTTTAAAGAACATTAATAGTTAGTTTAAAAAAAGACTCTATTCATGTTTGACGCTAAATAGATATTACGAATACGATGTTTTAGTAAATTACGTTTTCTCCTTAACGACTCGCGCAACTCGGGATTACAACTTCCCTAATAATTTCATGCGATTAATAATGTTGTACGTATCGTTGGTACTCCTTACTGGCTTGAGTCATAGTCTTGAGAGTTTGTTCGTGATGAACGTCGCGAGTTCTATTGCAATCAGTTCACAAAATGGAGCGGAAACCGCCAAGGAGTCCAAGTGCTCCTAAATACTTCCGCAGAAATCAGTCTTATATAAAGCTCATTATCGAGCTCATTTCAATGTCTTTTATCGTTATCACGCTTTTTTGTAAAATATCCTCTTGATGGCTTCTTTCCTTTCTGGCAACACGAGCGCCAGCGGCGTCTTTCCTTGTCGGTTCTGTATGTTTGTCTGACCTCCAGCTTGTATTAAGAGTCGACAGACATCTTTCTGTTTTTCCAAGTCTACATTACTCGAAACCGCCGCGGCCATGTGCAACGGCGTGTTGTACATGTAGTTGGTTTCGTTCACAACATTCGAAGTAGCCTTGCGCAGCAATACCTGCGAAAAAAAGTTCCAGAATAATTTGCGTACATAGAAATCAACAATGTCGTGCAGTATACATAGTAGAATTTAATCTTGAGACGAAGACTGCATATCAAATGAATCGTCATGTTAAATAATTTGCATTAAGGATTTATCCTAATCTACAATTTTTATTTTTAAAAAATTATATTTTTTCTACATATTTGCATCTCTTTTATTTTTTTATCTGTTTGTAAATAATTAGCTTGTTTGTTTGTTTGGTAAAATCACTGATTTTTGTGGGACAAAGAACCGAGTGCGATATATTTACATCTTGTTAGAAAAATTGTATTTGTTGTAAGAGAGAAAGAGATAACTTTCTGTGTGGAATATTATTACGATTAAATGCTCGGGATAAAATGAAAAATATCGGCGGATGTTGCGGTCCTTCTCGAAGAAGAGACAATTATCTTACGTGTTATATAATAATCTAAATGCGGTTGAGAAAAAACGTGTCAAATGTATGAAATTGATTTTATTAACGCCTAATATAACTCGTTTCGTTATTTGTAATCAAATTGATAATACTGTCGACTGTATGTCAAAGATTATCGCGCGGAATTCTGGGTGAGTAAGAATGAAGTGAATAAGAGAGTCAATTACTTCTTGCTTCAACTTTTTACTTTCTATAGCCATCTTTGATTGGTGAATCTTTCTACCGATTTTATCCATCAGTCGAGACATGAAAAAAAGAGATAAGAAATGAGTGAGTGTTTCATGTTTAAACACAACATTCGAATTATCACGCAATAAGTTTCAGAAGACGCGCATTTTTTACTAAGTATAAGATCTTTGGTAAATTTAGAATTAAACCTTTCTTTAATGAAATTTTGATAGATTGTCTTTACAAATTTTGAATTATCAATATTTAACAATATGACATCTTAATAGCATTTAAATTATAAATTGCTCATTAATTAAAACTCATTTGAAATTAATTGAAAAACAAATCTATTTATATGCATTAGAATTAATTTAGGAAAATCTCTCGGGATTAAAGTTGAAAAACTATTCAATGTTTCAAAACAATGTTTGTTGTTATTCTCGATATTGTCTCTTCTTCTTATTTTCTAAGAAACTCACAAGGTTTCTCATACCGATATTTGTAGCATTTCTTCTTAATTCCAAGAAGCGATAAACATTGCAGAACGTATAATTATCACTTTATTAGTCCAATGAGCCGATTATAACACGGGTAACTTCATAATTTCACGGGTAATTGACGCGCGAAGCTGGGAAATCCCTCAGGTGGATTACCTTCACGAGTGCAGGATCGCAACTTGATGAGGCTGCCATATGCAAAGCAGTATCGCCGCACTTGCTTTCTTTGATTTTGATGCTTGCGCCATTTTTCAAGAGAAGATCCGTTACGCCCAAGGATTTGACGCCTCGTCCGAAAGATTTCTGTATAATTTCATACATCTCAATCTCATTCTTATTTAACTAACCATCATAATTACACCTCGATAAATCGAACACGGAATTTCCTTGCACCGTCTTTAACGTTAATAATTCCGCCAAGACCTCCCCGTGAGAATCGCCGCGTGCTACAATTGAATGTATCAGTGTGTCGCCCTGAAATAATAGAAACGGCGATAGATATAAAAAAAGTTGTTCGCCGTATGAAATTATCTTTAATATCTTGTTCAACCGTGATAATTATATGCTTGTTGTTTTTTCAGTGCGATCATCGTGCGTCGTATAATTATTCAGCGATTACATTAGTCGCAATTAATCGTTCAAAAATGCATTTATTAACGAATAACCGTTCGTCGACAGAAGAGAGAATCTTGTCTATGTAATTGGAATTATTTCATTTAAAGATTCGTCCACGAATGTGGATACCTAATTAATATACCCAATTAAAACGCAAACGCGTGACCAATCATACATTAGAGTACCTTAATGAATTTTACAAAAAACGACGATTTTCGCGTAGCAGAGGAATCATGAGGAAACTTACGTGCATATGATATAATCTTTGGTTGATATCAATCCCTTTCTGTATCATTGCGGCAGCTAGATATCCGGTGACGTATGGCATTTCCGGACAATTCATAGCGGCCAAGTACAAAGCGTCCTCGTTGCGATTATTCACCATTGATAGAGCGCTCGGCAGGTTACCCAATCTCTCGACCAATGGCACCAAATAAGCTTTCTTCTTTGTTAATTCCTCTGGATTGCCCACCAGGCACATTAACGCTCTATTACGCGCAAATGTCATATTTTAGCACAAAAGAGTTCAGAAAGAAAAAAAGAGACGGTTTTTATTGCTATTTCTTTATCTTCTTTTCAAAAAACATTAATTAGTTTTTATTATTAACTACAATATTGCTACATCAAAAGAAGATTTAGTAATATCAGTTAATATAATTATTTATGATGTATGCTTTTTTATACGCTATACTCATCTATTTACATTTAAAGCAAAACAAATTCATTTAATATTGTTAATAAAATAAAACGTGTTACTTACGTGTCACCATCCTCATCCGAGGCTGCTAATTCCTCTATGGACTTTTTCAGCAGATTACTCATGGCTCTTTCCACTTCCTTAGGATGCAATCCTTCCTTCAGCCTCTCACTCGCTCTTACAGACGGTAAGTTTAGCGAAGGCCACGGTACTATGCCTCGATTCAAGTTCCTGTCGTGGCAATTGGGGTCGTTAACCACACTTCTTATCACTTATTCGCGCGAAAGTTATGATTATTTTAACATAAGTAGTGCATAGAAAAATGATAGTATTCAACACTTTGTACTACAACTTGATTTAAAAAGCAATTTACTTGCTCAAATTAAAATTGTATTGGGAAATTAAAATTTTTTAAGAAACATGCTTTAACATGCATGGGATTGCTACATTTAATTTATACTTAGACTCGTATTTTCTAATTGCTCAAAAGCACCGGAAACATAAATATGCCATTGAAAACTTAAACGACTGGTTTATCGCAACACTTCTCGTTATCATCCGTTTTATTGCGATATCTGCCATTAATTTTGATTACATAACTTCGTGGAAATAGAGAACATATGTTTCTTTTTTTTACATTTGCAAGCATCACGCGATTAAAACATATCTAGAATCATATCTAGAATCATAAACACTGAAACTGATCATGTCTTCGAGGAAAGAGAAGCTTTGTTTAAAAAATATATATATCATTTCTTTCCAATTTCATGAAAAACTCTGAATATCGATTTACGTTCAGATAATTAATTTGTTCGATATTTCGAACTACTGTCATCTTTTTCGCTCGTTTAACTTCATTTTTATATTTTCCTCGCACACGCAATAATTTTATCAAGCTTACCTCTGCGGATTAGATACAAATGAGGAGACCATTGTTGGTATTTGATAGTCGCTGGGTGCAAACACCGACGGTGGCTGATCATATCTCTTTTCTCCACTAGCGGTATGGAACATCGTGTACTCCTCCTGTGATGTCCTTAAGTTCTGTTCAGATGTCTTCACGGATGTCTCATCGGTCAGTCCGAGCTCGTGCAGAGTGTTCGCATCGTGCTGCGACACAACTGACGTGTTGACCTGGTTGTTCTTTGCGTGCGGTTCGTAATACCTCGGCTCCATATTTGTCGCGTGGCCGTTCACCGCGCGATTCACGAATGCACATCCTCCGGTGCTCCCCTTGCTCGCGTAAACCGATACGAGATCGCTATCGATGGGCAGACCCCCAACCTGGATGGAGTCCGTGTTGGGTATGCCCAAACAAGCCTCCAGTTTTTCGCTTCGCATGCCGCTCCTAGGACACTCGCGTGATGCAAGATTCACATCATTCCCCAACGTTTGCACGGACACGCACCGGTCGTTGTAGGCCGACGAGAAGCAAGAGGTATTCGAGACAATCTGCGACTCCTTCAACGCTTTATTTTGCTTGTCCTCTTCTATGACTTGCTCCACGAGTTGAAGCAACGCGCTGTCGATTGTGTCGCTGCTGTTGACGATCGTCCCCGAAGACTCGTAGATACCTTTCCAACCGGACAGTGATTCGCCAAGCTGTTCCTCAGTCTGATAATTAAGGGATGTCTGATAATTCGGGCTGGACACGTCGCTGTAGGACTGATTGGACGAGGATGAGGAGGATAACGTTTGTGGCACACGATATGTCGATGCAACCTGCGAAGGAAGGTGTCCAGTTAACTGAATCATCTGTCGAGAATTCGTTTCGTATTTGTACTTGGCCGCAGAGGAATAAGTGGCAGCCGCTACATAAACTTATACTAGCTGTCAAGTAGCTAGGCTGTTTGAATATTTTATGAGACTCGTCAAACCGTGATAAAAGGTGTTTTATGACTGAAACAATGTGGTATATTGGGTAGACTCAGTTTAAGTATTTAAACCTGTTATTACAGGTAGTGTGCGTGTGTGTATTCTTTTATTTTTAGAACATTACCTGTGTTGTGTGACATTATATGTGTTGTTCAAAATATAAATTCTGATACAATTAATATGAATACAATTAATATTACCATCAAATAAGAAAATTAATGTAGTAGACAAAAGAAGTCATGATAATTAACATTAAGTAACACCAGAAAAATATAATCAATTCAACGTATAAAAAGATTATTCATAAAATGTGCAGTCACGGTGTTTACTCATTCTAGAAAAAAAAAAACGGAAAATCTGACCTACAGTGATAAAATAGACGAACTGCGCTGTATTTTAATTTGCGGTTGTATTTAATCTGTAATTCAGCTCAAATCTTTACGTGGACGGCGTGTTTAATATTACACATTTTTGAAGTGTGATAAACTGCAATCGCTCGCGCAAGACTTCAACGCCTTGTTTTACTTATTCTAGACATGCGGGTTTCGTCGAAGCGCTACTTATGCGCGCTCCTCATACATTTATGCAGATTATTGCGGACTTACCTGCGGTGAGCCGAGCGGGCTGCCGATGACGTTGACGTGCATCTGCGGTGACTCCAAGTTCGTTGCGGAACCCGGTGATTGGGCGCGACTCGACGCCCGACTGTTCGACCTCGAGACGACGTAGTTGTAGCTACTCGCTGGAGAATCGGACCAGGTTTTCGCGCCTGGCGAGGGAATCGAGTGACTGCCGGCGTCTGAGAGCAATGCGGCTTGAAAACCGCCATGCGACAGGATGTCCATCAAGGACTCTTCTCCCGGATCGTCGACAACTATGGAGGGAAGCGCCGCGGTCTGAAATACAATTAAATCGATTTTTACAGAGCGGGAGAACTCTTTTGCGTCGTATTGTTACTTCAACGCTAATAGTTTCGGTCATCGACACTCATTTTGAGTTTTCTTTTATCGGGGAATAATTATATGACATATAATTATATTAAAATAATTATTATATATCATAATTAAAATAATTATGTAATATAACAATCGATACATATAGGTATGAAAAATTTTTATAACTTTTAATTAATTTTCTCATGCAGATGAATCGAAGAAATTAAAACATACGTAATTATTTTCCGACTGTTTGAAATATTCAGATTAGTGCATTCCATATACAAAGATTGTTTGCCGTCAAATGTTTATTATTAATATATAAAAGATTGATAATAAACTAAAAATATCTTTTTTCTTATACTCTCTTTAGTGCAACTGTTGTGCAAATCTATCTACAAAAATGCGCTTCAATTCAAGTTACCACATTTAACATGCGATATAATTTAAAAAAAAAATGGTATATAATTTTATAAGAATATTATCATTGATGTAAGACGTAATTTAACAAAACTTACATCATTGTTAGAGTCTCTGTTACGGAAAATATTTTTGTCATTCTCTCCGATCCAACTGGGTTCGATCCCCAGATTCATCGTTCCGATCAACGTCTGATTTCGACTCGAATCCGATAACTGGTCTAAGCAAGGATTCAGTTTCTCGCTGTAATCCTTGTTCCTTAAAATTTGCTCGGCAGTTTTGTCGTAGTCTACCGCGTAGGCGGCATCTGTGCCGTCGTTTGCACGTGTCGTTTGTAACCAGGTCATCATGGAGTAAGGATATGATAATGCTCGAGGGGATTGAAAATTGGATTTCACTGGTCCTCGTTGAATTAGATCGGAATCGTCGGAGTCCTCCTGCTCCTGCTCTTTCGCCTGTTCGGACTCCGAATCATCGTCCAGGGAATTCCCATCGTACAAAGGATAGCATCGTTTCTTGTCGTCGCATATGTTAAGCGGCAGGCAACCTTCATTGTCATCAGTCGTGACGTTATCCTCGTTGTTGTTTATGTCCTCGTTATCGGTATGACGTCCTGACTTGCAGCTATTCCGATACTCCAGGTTGTTCACGTTTTCGCTGCTGATGTGGCGCGTCTTGTTCTCATTGGCATCTTTGTTGTCCTCGTCGTTACGTCCAAGCCGCAAATTTTCGATCTTTTCGATTATATCTTCGTATTTGGTCAGTTTCTCGCGGAAATCCTTGTCGAGATCGAAACTCTTGTCCGCGTCCGCGCTCGAACGGCAGGACGTGTCTGGGCTGATAGACATGTCTTCAGATTCAGTTGATCCGCAATCTTCTTCCAAAGAGCTCACGGACGAGCAATTTGGAATTGAGACGCGTTGCAGCGTCCACTTTTCGATTCGGATCGGCGTAATTCGGCCGGAATGGGCCATGGTGCACTGCCTGGATTTTCCCTATCTTATGTAATATAAATCTTACGTAATATAATAATTTCCAAAGAGAACTGATAAAAAATTTCACGTAGTTAATATCTTCTTGACCCCGAAAATGTCGTTCCGATGCGAATCTGTAAAATAAATAATAGCAAAAGTAAATTTTATAAATTAAGAAATTCTTTTATTTCTTAATAGTTTTTATAGATATTGTTAAATATAAAAATCATGCAAAGAATTTTAAATAATATTATTTTAATTTAATGCATATTGTTTTACTTATTATAATTTCATTTTTCATCAGTCTTTAAAATATGCACCTAGATTTATTATAATTATTATATGGATATATTATAATATACTCTTAAAATTTATTTTAATAAAGTATGCCAAAATATTTACTTAAAGCTGTTTAAATTTAGTTTCAATTTTTATACAAAATATCATTAATTCAAGTACACTTCTTGGAAGTATTCATGATCAGATTGTAAGAATTATATGTAATATATATTACATAATTTGTACCAAGTTACTTAAAATTAATCATAAAAATCTATTACAGCAAAAATTTTCAAAAAAATTTTTTAGAACAATAAATATACTTTTTTTAACAATAAATCTATTTATCATAATTATATTATTATTTAACAAAAAAATTAATAAAAAAATTTATACTTTCATGCTATACAATAACACAAAAGAATTTCTTTCTATAATAATTCACGGTGTGTCAATTGTTTTAATCATTACCGGAAAATGTTTACCGATTAAATGCACTATCATCAGTTAAATATGGTTGCTTTCTGTTTTCTATTATTGTACGTGTTGATATCTTAGACTATGATGTATTTTGTTGCTGACAATTTTATCACTTGGTAGTTACTGTACATTAACGTTTGTTGCATGTTATTGAACAGAAAATACACGCATACTCTATTCTTGCATAAACTTTCCCTAGAATCCAAGAACCAACTCAAGAAATCTTCTTACTTCAAGTATAATAACAATGATTGCTGATAAAAGTATGGAAAGTTTTGCAGAACATCATGAAGAACGAGTATATTCGAAGTAGAGGTCGTTAAAAACTTTGTGATAACCTACGTTCCCGAGACAATAAAAATAATATTATTGCCATTTAATAATCGATTTCCAGGTCATAGACCATAATGCTCATTATATGTGAAATAAGATTTTGATTAATTTCGATTACTATTATTAACAATTTCATTGCTCGTATATTTATGATATACGTATGTTTGTATATAGTATCTAATAAAATAAGAGTGTATACAATAAAATATCATTATATCCTAATATTTCTTAATTATATTTATGTAAGATTAATACATTACTTTTTTCATAGAAAATTTTAATTCTATATAATGCATCAAGAAAATTTTATAACGTTAGAAGAAAAAATATTAATATACTCTAATATATAATATATTAATTTTTTAATACTGAAATAATTTTCTGTAACGTTAACAACGTCAGCAAAGCTTCAGATTTAAAATTGTGGAAATTTTTGTAGAAACGTAGAAATGAATTTTTATATTTTATGAACAAAGTGAACTCCATTTTAATTAAGCCTTTGAAAGAGTAGAATTATTAAATGCGTTAATAAAAAAATTTTCAACGCACTAATTTAATTAATTATGCATATAAGATTATTATGCTGTATACATATATATCTCAATGTAATATAATGCGTTAGAAAAAAACGGGGCGTGACTCTCTCAGGCGTACAACAATTACATACAGATAAATATATTAATAATCGTTTATTATCGTTTTGGGAGCTCATTTCAATTAATTTCTCCTTTAATGTGTAATGGAATAATTTTTATAAAAATGCTTTTATATAATAATATATTACGTTGAAAGTACAATGTAAGTACAGTGTAACGTATAGTATGTTGTGTGCACTTTAAGTCATAATAATAATAATACTATATCTAATGAATTCTATGAAATTGTGAGTTGAAAATGACAGATTGATTTAATTGGGTCTATTCGGTCATTGAACTAATTCCATTTTGAATAGCGGAAATCAAATGGTTGCTTGTTCATTAATTACATCGAAGTAAACAGTTCGAAGAACTTATACAAAAGATCGAAGTACTGAAAGATCTTTTAATAATGTTCGTTATCTTCATCCAAGAATTACAGAATTAATTCACAAATGATCATTATCAATAAAAGAGTGGATTGTTGAAAACGTTTGTTTTCAAATGTTTATGCTGCTCACATCTTTTGACTTATAATGCAATTCATTCGTTATTCCTACTCGATTTTAAATTTGCTGCGAAATCTTGGTGCGAAGGTTACGACCAAGCAGACCATTCAAGCATTTGATTAACAAATTTTTCCGATAAAGCTTAACTCTACGCTGAATAAAAAGACCTGATTATAAAACTGACTCGAAAGCAAACAATATCATATCCAAATACATTTTCAACAGAATAAACTATTGAGCTGGAGTTAAGCTATGAGTATAAGCTATGAGCTTGTGGATTGCAATTTCATTTTTTAAAAAAGAGAGAGAGTTTTAGATTTCTAGATTTTAGGTGAAAAGGTTCAATTTTCGAACAGAAATTTTTCATTTTACAATAATTAAAAATTCTTCTTTTGGAAATCTCCGTGAGAGTTTCATACTATCTCAGGAACTCTACATATAGAAATATTATTACGAATCAAATCTTAATTGAAACAAAAAAGATTTTTCCTAGAAAAAAAATCCAATTGAGCTTTATATATCTATAAACAAAGCTCATTCACGAATGGAATTGATCTACGTGAAATAATGAAGTAAATTAATTAATGTAAAATAAAAAATATGTGTAATAAAATAATTTTTATGATACATAAGATATATTTACAGTGTAACAAAATGAATAAAAATGTTTCAATAAAATATAAGAAAGTTATGTATATTTTAAAAGCATTTCAAAAAATTTGCATTTTGATATGCGGTACATCTATCGTATTTCCTTGATAAAGTATTTTTCCGTTTTTGTCCTCTAGGATTTGTAACTCTGAATGAATGCGCGATCACTGGAGGGCGTCGCAAGAAACGGACATGCAGTTTGAAAGCAATTAAGCAATTTAGAAAATGGATATGGTTCCGAGTAATCGTGTTAATTTAATGTGCTGGGATGAGCTTTGTCATGCGGACACGCGACCGTCAACCACGCGTACGCAGTTCGCACGCACTCGTATGCAAAAGCGTACGCACACCGCACTCGATCGCACGTAATATAAATAACATTTTCGCTACAAAAGTATTCATCGCAGGAGAAACAATCAAATTTAAATTAAATGTATAGATTTTCTCTTTTCACATTCTTTGAACTATGGAACGTGTTTTTCAAGAATTACTTCATAGATGTAAATAGATAAGAAAATATTCTCAGTCTATCTTTAGTCTTTGATAAGTTATATTGTGAACAGTTCAAGTTATAAATTATATATTATGTACATATTTGTATGATTATTGCCTGTTTCCAATGTAAATTAACTTTAATCTTAGTTTAGCTTACTGTTTACCTTTTCCTCTTTCTTTAATCCTAAAAATTAAAAAAAGGTAAGGAATAAATTAAACTAAGATTAAAATTTATCTTACATTGGTGGAACCGGGTATATGCCATCTAAAAAGAATTGATGTAATTTCCATTAGTTCCATGATGGTTTTTAAATGCTAATTAGTCGGGGCAATTATAATAATTAAACTGTCTTAGCAATTTACATGTAGCAGGATTTTTAAAGACACTACAAGTGATAAAGAAGACGCAAGTACTTATCAATATGGTAAAACTGCTTTTAGAATAACTCTTTCTCTCTCTGTTCCTCTCTTCTATCTCCTTTTATTCATAAATATATATATATATAATATTAATGTTTGTACAGTTTCATAAATAATTATCATGTATAAATAATTAAATACATGTGTATAATAATATAGTTATTATATTGTTATCTCTAATAGTATTTCAAAAGAAAAATTTCAAACAATTAAATGACCTACATAAACATTTGTTTAAAAAAATATTTTTACTTGATAATTATTTATGATTTTTTGTATAAACGATATACAAAGATAATGTTTCTTTATTTCTTTTATAATAATATTTCTTTCATTCTTTATTTCTTTCATTCTTTATTCTGATTAAAACTGATACATTTATAGATACAAAGAGAAGAACTAGAAAGCAAGTTGCTTAATTAAATTGCTCAGATAAAATCATGTAGCATAACAGAATAATTAATTACCTCGTGTATTTTCTTCGAATAACGCTGAGAATCGTTAATTTCACAATCGTGACAGACCGCTTTCACGAAGCCGTCTCGATACTCGCTGTCGGATTCACCATACGAGTCGCGCGTCGACGTAACATCGCGTCAGAAAAACACGTTTCACATAGCCTTCACTTACGAAGGTGCCCCGAGAGCACAATCGTCTGCTCCGGTGCCTCACGGTCGCTTCTGCGCCAATCTTGAACTAATCGTGACTTCACGATCTTATCGGCATGCAATACTCGACGTTTCACGTCGTTTCCATATCTCCGTTTCTTTGCCGCACGTCCCTCCCAAGTGTCGTTCTCCGTCTCAGATTATCAATTTTCACTGTCTTCGCGATCAATACACCGTCACTTCCGCGTCACCTTGCAACCAATAGGGCAGAATAAGACGAGTGCCCTGTGTCCTTAGATGCGTGTACCTTACAATCTTTACTTTAACGATCTTAAGAATCTTTTGAAGGTATATCTTCAGCGTTTCGATCTGAAGATACAAGCGCGCACGTTGCTTCAATTCAGTTTTCTCTCGACATCAGCGACTGAGAGTGGATCGTTGTAGCGCGATAATAATAAGCGACTGGTCTCCACCAAGATCTCAGTGAGAGAAAGAGAGAGAGACTCGTTTGCGATTCTGCGAACGATCCAGTCTCTCGCACACATACATACGCGCGCATGTATACACGCACGTACGCACGTATGCACGCACCAGCAACGTAGCCGAAACACACCCGAGTGTGCCGATCCGAAAGTCAGTCAGATCATGCGTGTACGGCTGACGACCTTCAGCGCTTCGTTGCGTGGCTCAAATATCGAGTGAACGCTCGCGGGATCCTTATCTGCGGCCGCGATTTTTCGTCGGACCGGCGCGACGCGGTTGACTGCACCATCAGTGGCAACAGTGGCAGCAGTGGCAACAATAGCGGTAACGACGACGGTATCTCTTTTCGTGATTTCTTCCTTTCTTTTTTTTTTCTTTCTTCACTCCCGTTGTGACACCGACCGAGGAAACCGCCGCTCCTGGGATTTCCGCGTCCGTCCTAATCTCAGCATCTATTCTAATCGCCCGCGTATTTCCCGGCGCGCGCACTCGTCAAGGTCGCCGCGCAACCTCTCGTGAGTTTCGCGGGATTCGCGAAAAATGGCTGTCTCCCTCCCTCGTGCCGTGCCTCTCGCGTGCGAACGGTGGTCGCGCGAATCGTCGACACCGATTTCCCAAAGATATGCCCGGTCCCGAGCGATACGTACGCACGACTGCGATCCGAACGCGTGCCGACGACCCGACGCAAGGCAAAGCAACTCGACGCGTCGCGACGCAACGCTTGCCGCCCCGCATCATCGCTCTTTTACGGTCTTCCAGTAGCGTAGCTACGTGCGATCGTAGTACAGGTGTATGCATGTAGTTTCGATGTATATTGACGTATCATGATGAAAACGCAACCTCGCAATAAAACGTTTACGTATGTATTTTAGACGTACTATATCAGAGCATGGCATAAATGATAAACCGTTATCGCGCCCAGATTTTTTTCTTTATTGAGTTTTTTGCTATTACTTACGTAATTTTAAGCTCATAAATTAGTCAAATGTAGTAAGCGTTTTTTTTTTTAAACAGTTAAAATTGCGCTGAGATTTTTATATGTCAATTGATTTTTACTGCGGATGTTCAGTTGATCTTGGGACTTTTCTGTTATATTTAACTATTACAGTACAGCAATTATTTATTATTATCGTTACGCTTTGTCTTGTCTTTTCCTTTTTTTATATAATGAATTATTTTATATAATACACTTTTTTAATTACAAAAAAATATTTGCAAGATATTTTTTTATATAATGTTTATATAAAGTTTATATAAATAAATTGATATAACAAAATTACACTATTTAATATTTTATTGTATTATTAAATTAAATATATATACAATAATCTCTACAACTGTTAAAATATGTAACTATTATTATCTACTATTATCTAGTATCATATAAATTTACTCTTGTTTTGATATATGAAACTTTCAGAAATATCCTAACTTTTCCTTTCCTTTAAAGTATAAACATCTATCTCGCTTATAAACTAAATGTACTTTATATGAAATAATTTTACGTCACTTTACAATAAAGATCCAGAAATCTGTTGATATTGTAACAGTTGAATGTCATAAGAGTATCCAAGAATATTCAATAAACAGCTAGACTGTACAAAGGTTGCTTGACGTTTAAAAAAGGTTTAAACTCTTTTTAAAAAGCTTTTAAAATCTCAAAAGATATGTGCCATGTTCGATGGTTTAGAAACTCAAAGAAAAAGAGGAATGAAATTGAAACAAAAGGAATTTGTTACAGTTAATTAAACTACGCTTTTATTGCACAATTAATGAATTTCCATTCGTCGTGCGAACGTAGCATACGGTCATGGATTAGATATACATATTACCATTGATGCGCATGCGTTGTCGATGATGTCACCATCATTCGTGTCGCGTTCTCCAGATACACTCGTCTGCGTTGTATGTATATTCCATTGTATTTCTCACTAACAGCAGTAACGTTAAACACACACGTTTCCTTGAGACGTACTATGCATCGTAGTAAAGTGCATTAATTTCAATGCATATTATGACTGTGTCTTTATCTCCGGTTTCTACCGCTTTTTATTTTTATTTTTAGCTTTCTGTCTTTAGTTTCTACGTAGCTAACGAGTGTATTTGCTTTCTATTTTAACGATTCCACACTGCTTATACATAACGTTCACGAATTGTTTGTGGCAGTAACAAAGAATTTACGTTTTTCGAAATAACATCGCTTGCTTTCTGCACGAATAAACTGATAATTTTGCTTGTAATATTAATTCAACGTAAACGTTAATTAATCAAATGTATAAAATTCAACATCAGAAAAGAGATGACAAATATTTTGACTGCATAAAAATGGCAATATTTGTCGTGTAATATTCACTTTTATGCTTAAATTGGAACAGCTGATAAAAAATTAATCTTAATTTAAATTATTTTGAACAAAATGATATTATTTGTAACCATGTACAAAATATTTACAAAAGTACTATACAAAGTATAAATTGTAATGTGCATTTGAAGGCGACAAAAGATATTAATAGTACCACTGTATTCTCACATATATATATACACTAGTATATATATATATATATATAGATATAGATTATATATTTATACTAGTAATTTTATAGATATATAATAGTATATATATATATAATATATGTATTTACATCGATAGGAATCAAAAGACACGTTCGTGTCTTAACAGGCAATAATGTTAACACGGTATGGAAAAATATTGACATGTGCAATATACAATTATAATCAAAAAGCGTGTTACTTGTTGATCTTACAATAAAGTGTAATAAAAATACTCAATAATCGAAAAACAAATCGTCAAGATATTATTGCAAGAGATTTATTGTTTACTAAGGAAGACGGAGTAGACGTACCATTAGCTATCAGAGACGCAATTCGTGAATCAGTCGATACCAACTGAAAGTAACATGACGTCAACGTTATAACTTCACACTCAACAATGTAACTGTTATATATAAGGCTATGTTACATTATATTTATATTGCTAAGTGCAAAATTATATAACATTAATGTTATGTTATTTTTAGTTGATGTCAATTGGGTGTTAATATAAAGAATCTAAACTAACGATACTCAAAGATTATTGAAGTGCGAGAAGTACAACTGCTTCATTCATTTGTTTTACACGACTGTAGATTTAGGAATTTAGTTTTGTTTCTTACGAACAGAGAAGTGCCTATCCATCAGCTTATCCGTCTTTCCAGATTGGCGGATGATAAAGGTGCAATTTCATGCAGTGAAAGAAAGCTGGCTTTTTACCCCCGCCAAAATCAAAGCAGCGTTCGAAAGCGTTCGCTCTTCTCCTGTTTCCTTTTCATGGAGCGTATCTTCGCTGGCTTTAAGTTAACGAATACACTCATTTATTTTCGCTAGCTTTTAATTCATTTTAATAAAAATGAATTACAAAAATAGATTACGAAAATGAGAATACATCGAATGTGTAAAAGAATATACCCGTATAGTAGCAACTATAGCTGCAGCAAAGATTCGGAGGCGACTCATAGCCGTTGCAATTGTTAATATACAATTACTAAAAACGAAAAAGTACTGGATAACACCTATTTCCAAAAATCGCAGCGAACATGGCTTTTACTTTGTTTCGCTCCTAAAATTAATCTTGGAAGACATACGATTCCATAAACGTGACATATGTTATGATATGTCATATCATGACATGACATATCATGTATTTCAGCGATGTTCGCTATTATTAGTTGAACAATATCGAACTTTGAGCGTAACTTCGCTGCATACGAAAATTGATGGAGTGGGGGTAAA